GACAGTGGAAATGTTTGCATCTGTGCAATATTGTATTCATAAATCTCATGTGACTATTAAACACTTAAAATATAACTAGTGTGACTGAGAAATAGGATTTTTAATTTTAATTAATTTAAATTGCTACATGCAGCTCATGGCTATTAGAATTGCACAGCATAGATCTAGAGTAACCTTTTTAGGAGAAGTAAATCCGGATGAATTTTATCCACAAGTGGATTTCCTTTGGGTAAAATATAGTATGTCACAGTATTTCCCGTGAGATCCTATTACGTCCCTTCATTGCTGAAGCCAGTAGTTTTACCTAGTATTGTCATTGCTTGTGTACTATTGTTAATTAGGATATGCACAAAGGAAATTAATAAACTGTATATCCAGGAAGCTCTGAAGACTTCTACTAGGAAGTAACTTTTGAATTTAGTCTTAAAGGAAAGGAAGTTCACCCTGGGGTTGAGGACGGGTGAGCTGGGGATAGTTCAGGCAGAGATGAGAAAAATATGGTGTGACCAAGGAATACTTGATAATTCATTAGAACTGGCAAACAAAGTATCTTTGTAAAGAGCAGGAGAGGAGAAAGAGCAATTTGAAAAAATTTAATAATGTATGTTTTAAAATACTGTCCAAGTATTGGGTTTGATTAAGTTTATATAGTTTCCCACCCCAAATGGTTATTCTATCACATATACATAGGATTTTCTTTTCTTTTCTTTCTTACAAACATCATTTATGTTTTAATCATTAAAACAACTAAAATTGCAGCTTTGTTCCCTAAATTTATTACTTGGACAAGATTGAGATTTAGGAAATTTATTGCCGTGATGTCACCACTGGTTTATAATTTATAAAACTTTGGATTAGACATTAGCACAGTTGTTATTTCCTCTAATGTCTTACCTCACCGCAGTCTAATAACATTCAGGAAATCCAGAAGACAAAGGGGAAAGAGTGGTCTTGAAAGCTAAAAATAGTTGCTGAAAACTGATGCAATCATGTAATAAAATATGGCACAATAACTTACATGATATGCTCACAGTATCTGCTAAAGCAATTAGAATCCATGCAGCTAGATTTCTGTTCATGTACTACTAAAAGTGAAAAGTATTTCAGCCCAAGTAAGAATATAAGCTATGTGGTTTAATTGTATACATTGGTCTTAAGATTTTTGGTCTTATTACTTGCATATGTGATCTGTTTAACACTCTTTAAAACAGAAAATCATTGAGTAGCAATCAGATTTCAAAAAGTCTTCCAAGTACAACCAGACAGTTGTCTACGTGATATGCTACGTATGACAACAGATAATGTACAATTATATTAACACAGACTTCTTTTCCAAGGGGTCAGTGTTTTCACACATCTAGTAGATCTCGTGCACTAGATAACAGAAACAGCAATATTGGTGTCTCTCAATCACATTAAGTTCATCAGACGTATTAAATGGTAGCCCTTTTTAATTGAGAATTTTTATACATATTATATATATATATATTTAACATCTTTATTGGAGTATAATTGCTTTACAATGGTGTGTTAGTTTCTGTTGTATAACAAAGTGAATCAGCTATACGTATACATATATCCCCATATCTCCTCCCTCTTGCGTCTCCCTCCCAGCCTCCCTATCCCACCCCTCTAGGTGGACACAAAGCACGGAGCTGATCTCCCTGTGCTATGCGGCTGCTTCCCACTAGCTATCTGTTTTCCATTTGGTAGTGTATATATGTCCATGCCACTCTCTCGCTTCCTCCCAGCTTACCCTTCCCCCTCCCTATGTCCTCAAGTCCATTCTCTACGTCTGCGTCTTTATTCCTGTCCTGCCCCTAGGTGCTTCAGAACCAGTTTTTTGTTTTTTTTTTTTTTTGATTTCATATATATGTGTTAGCATATGGTATTTGTTTTTCTCTTTCTGACTGACTTCACTCTGTATGACAGTCTTTAGGTCCATCCATCTCACTACAAATAACTCAGTTTTGTTTCTTTTTATGGCTGAGTAATATTCCATTGTATACATGTGCCGCATTTTCCTTATCCATTCGTCTGTTGATGGACGCTTAGGTTGCTTCCTATACATATTATATTTAATGGGGGTTTTTTTTGTCAGAAAAGCTTTTGAACTGGACTGTGGTCTAGCTATAGAAATGAACAATTTTCAGTGCATTTTGGGAGTCCAAAGTATTTACATATTTTTAAACATATGTCTTAATTTCTACTGGTGAATATATAGGCAGGCATTTCCACTGTCGCTTGAGAGATATTAATCAGTATAGGAAAGAATGATCTTATTTTGGTAACTATAAACAATGAAAAAATAAATTAATATTTTTGAGGGCATATTAAGTATTGTTTTATATACATTATTGCAGTAAATATTCCCAATCAACCCTATGAGATTTTCCTATCCTCCTTTTATAGATGACTGAGCTTCAGAAGGGTTTAGGGATTGCCTGAGGCCCAGATAATAAAAGGCACAGCCAGGGATAATATCCATTTCTGTCTGATTTCAACAGCCTTAGACTCCATTACTATGTGTAACAGGTATGAATTTTACACTACAAACATTTCTATGTAAGAAATATCTTTTAGTTCCCTATTGTGAAAGCAAATTATATTTATTCCAGGCCCCATATCACTAGGCTGGAAAGGAAATTCAATCTTTTATCCTTCAGTAGAATCCTATAAGAATATAGAATAATTACACTGTAGAAACCCAGAAATGTGGGCAAGAGTTCTGTTTAAAGGAAAAAAGACGGAAAGGAAAAAGGAGGCCAGCTTTGAACACATTACCTGACACCATGACAAAGGATAGTTTTTCATCTTCTCTTAAACTGTAACTGACATGCTTAACCTCTCTTCCTATGAAGTTTAATCCTTTACCTTGTAAATCAAATGTTAAACACGAGGTTTCAAGTACTTTTCATATACCTTGGCATTGTCTTACTAATGTGGATACATGATCCCAGGCATCATGTGTCTCACACTTTGACAGATAGCTCCTCTATCTTTGTCAGTGTTGTAAAATGTCTTATGAGGACAAGAAATTTATACTAATATTCATAACAATATTTTCAGCCACACCACCACTTCTTCTTGATGCTTCCTCTAACCTGTGAGGACTAATCACATAGACAGATTTTAATATTTTCTATCATTGTGGCAGTAGAGTGTATATCATCTACTGAGCATATTTATTTTGGATTGTTTCCTAATTTTTATCTAAATATTTCTTAAGATTTCTTCTATGCTTCTTCTTAGTATATGGCAATAAATTTCATATTATAATTTTAATATTCAAGTGTCTATGACAAATGTGTATTTGTAAATAAGTTTATAATTTGGTGACTTATGTAACTGTTTTTAAGTAATATTTCTTTCAAGTTCTGGTAGGAAAGTTTACAACAATGGTAACAACTTGTGTTAAATTTTCATATTCTTGAAGCAGTAATATGAGCAGTATTAATAGAATAAAAATAGTGTCTGTTTTTTATTTTGCTGCTTTAAAAATACTTTATTTCAATTCTTTAATCCTCACAATAAACATTTGAGATTAAATATCCTTATCAACATTAACTTTTAGAAATCGAAGGCTCAGAGATATTAATTGGCCACCAAAGAACCAGAGCTAATCATTGGCCCAAGTGGGCCTGACTCCTGACTCACTGCCCTTCCTACTACAACTTAGCACAATTCTGAGAAACCCCGTAAATTTTTCACAGTGTAAATTTTAGAATTCAGCTAAAGAACCATCATTGCTAGGGGATAGCTATTTACCAAGTACAGAATCACTGCAAGCAAACAGGAGACTTGGTAATTCTTACAGTAGTAAAGATGGAGAATATTTTTGGTTTGCTTCCTTTTTCACTCTTCCCTAACTCAAATGAATTTTAAGAGTCATAATTTGAAACTCTGCCATTAGCTCCATCAGAGATATTAAATGTTAAAGAAACTGATGCATATTGGCCATAAAATGAACACCATTTACTATCCTAAGAATATAGAAAATGCTTTTATGTGAATAGTAGAGAAATTGCCAGAAAAGGTATTTTATTTCAGTCTGTGGACAAGCTAATGTGCTACTGGAAAATGCATACATATTCTGACCTAATTAATTTCCAGAGCACTTGGTTCTGAAAAGAATGCTCAGAAATACCCCAGTTTACTCCACTGTCATATAGAAGCCTCACATTCTGAGGACAGTGTCTTAGGCATGAGTTAGTTATCTCCTTATTAAGGATTTTGTTGCAGTGCTTTCTGGCATACTTTCTACCATAGTCAAATGTTCACTTAAGTTTCTGGGTGCTTGAGCCTCAACTGAGCAGACTTCCCTGTGATAAAAATGTGTCACCTCTGTGCTTGTTGTCCTAAGGACACTTATCTCCAGGCACACCCATCCTAATAAACAGTTTGATATTTCCCACTTAGAGAAATTGATAAGGATAGTTTCAGGTACCTTCCACCTTCCAAGGTGTGAGTAACTTTAAAATGCTTGAGGAGCTTGTAAGCATCAAAGTCATAGGAATGACAGAGTGGAGGACGTGACTGCTATGACTATTTCCTTCTGGAAAGTACATACAGAGAAGTGAGATAGCGTATCTTCTTGCAGACATCTAATATAGTGAGTTGTTATTTTTTCTCTATGTGAAGGAAGTAAAGGAGGTATTTGTTTAAATTTAACATTCTTTCAAGAGCCATTAAGGAGGCTCTTAGCATAGCTATGTGATAAAATGATCACTCATCATAGCGTGCTTGTCCTTTAGAGTTCACTTATACACTATTACTTGCAACATGCTAAATGCTACTAAAAATCACCAAGCTAAATAGATATTTGTCTAGTAATAGCTAGGTTTTATCCCCCTTAAGTTATTCTGTCATCTCTAAAGTTTACACAAATAATAATACACCTTGATAGTGCAGAAGAATACTCAGCCTCTCTCTGATTAACTGGCATGTTAAAAATACTTTCTATTATAAATAAATTGAATTCTTCTTTTTCTTTTCTACAGGACAACATTTTTAAGCTGGAAGACTCACATTTTGAAAATGGCCGTGGGAAGAGCCCATATGACCCTAAACTGCTGACGGCATCTCTTTTAATAGGTACTCAGTCAACAGTCAGCTAAACAGTGAATTTTCTGTAGATAATAGCCAGATTGCATGTTCCTTGTTATATACCAAGATTTTTCATTATTAATCATAAAATATTTTAGGAGTATGTCAGTTGAGATATTTTCAAATATTTTGAAAATGAAGAAGAAACACTAAATGCTGATTTGATTATTGTACTATCTAGTCTATGATTCTTTTTAATCAGAATGGTTTAATAGTGTCTTTAAAATTGGCTGCTCAATCACTATACATCCCCCTAGACCTTTACAATTTTTGTTTTGTAAAAATATGGTTTTGATTTTCATTTTTTGGGAAGAGGCGTTTCAAGGGGGAATTTTGACAGGTCAGAAGGAAAGAATGAGATTCACTCCAAGTTGTTAATTGTAGTCCCAAGATTTGTCACACTCTCAGCATTTGGTCAGCTTAATCAGCACAATGCAACTAAATGGTAGTACAATTGACAGAGACCCCTTGTGTCACCTTGAGTTGACAAAGTCCTTCTGTATTCAACTTTTCTGACTTTAGGGCTGCTTCTTCTTTTTTTAATCTAACAAAACATTTTATGTATTTCCTGTGCCCTTTTCTTTAGCCATCTTCCTAGTTCTAGTTTTCTTCTTTCTTCTTTTACTTCAACATTGCAGATATAGGTGGTGAATGCTTAGCCATAGTTCAAAAGGATAGAAAGAGGAAGATAGAAGTAGGCAGAAGGAGAAAACTTTAGTTTGTATTGAAAAATAGAGAATTCTTTCCACATTCTTTTAACCACTTCTGGACTGGGATTAAATAATACACAAAAAGTGATATATCATTAAACAATTTTTCTTTTTGTTTTTTTGTTTTCTTGTTTTAACTTTTGAGTATGCCAACAACCTAAAGTACAGAAGATTCTGGGTCATTACCCTACTCCTGAATATATGTTTTTATATAATCATGTAGAAATTATGTAGCTTTTTGTTTCCTTTTCTTTTTCCTTTTGTTTTCTTTTTTATAAAATATAGAAAGTAATTATTTGATAACACAAAAGAATAATAAGTGAAACTTTTCAGGTGTAAACTTTCTACTAAAATTTTGAATAATACATCTAGATTTTTAAAAGGTAAATTTAGGCTATTATTTGACATATAATAATTTCATAAAGTTTAGCCTTTTTATTTTAAAAAATAGTCTTTTTTCTATTCAACAAACTAAGACTCTAGTCATACTGACTACAGCATTAACTTGAAAATATATTTTTTCCAGTATTCTCTAGTGTTTATTGCTGTTTCACTGATCCTTTTACTATTAAGAATAAAACCATTACAGCATGAATTACCTCCTCTATTGCTTTGGAAATGTAGACAATTTCAGTCCATTTGATCCATTTATGGAGCACTTTAACAAAAGTTTAAGACCTGAAGGAATGCAGCAAATGTAACACACTTATAATTTTCCTATTCGCAAATGGCCTAGTGATTATGTGTGGATGACTTCCTTAAGTGCACACACAGAAATTTGAAAACTGTCTTAAACAAAGGGGAGGAGTCCTATCTTGTTTGAACCTGCAGGCTATACTTATTTAAATTGCATACTGAACAAAAAAAGATAGATATTCCTCAAAAAAGCAGTATGTAAAAGTGTGCCTAGAGCAGCTTTATTTTGTGGTATGTTTCTCAGTAGGGGCTTGCTTATTTATTTTAATATTCCACTGAGAAAGTATGATGACAACTAAGTATTACATAGTTCATATGGCGTGCAGCCACACAATGTCCACAAAGAACATGAAACGCTGCAGTTTTGGTTTTATATTAGAACTTCCTTGAAACAGCTGTATAGGTTTGTGAAAAGGAAAAGAGTATGAGGGAAGTTGCATGAGTCAAGGAGAGGATGTATGGCTAGAAAAGAACATTAGGCATTTCAGAGAAACAGCTTTTAAATGAAAGCCCAGACAGATCTCACCTAGCCAGTACTGTAAAGTAATTGAATAATTTTCAGAGATATTTAGTGCTTATTGACAGAGGAGATTATTAAAGCCAACTTAAGTTAATTTCTGGATCAGTTGAATAGCAAGATACAGAAAAATGAGCAGGCCATACTAGACCTGGTAAAATCCCTCAGAATATTTGTAGCACCATTTTAATTCAAAAGCTGTGACTTCCTTTATTGAGGTTACTTGCTTCTTTATAACTATGCTATAATTCTGCCATGCGTCAGGAAAGAACATAATTTGACATTAGAATATGCTCTCACTTGGTATTAAAGGTACTCCCCAAATTAATCAACTATAATTTAGAAATTATTTGAACCACTCTGAGCCTCAGTTTCTGTGTATGTAAAATGGCATGGCTATGCAAATTCCACTAGTTTGTTGTGAGAATTAAATAAGACAACGTAATAGCATACTACATTTGGGTACGTACATATTTCTGGCATATATTTGGAAGTAGAAACTGAAAAAAGAGGAACAGGTAATAGTGGTTTTCTGTAGGGAGGCTAGGAGAGAGATTTGGTAATGTATAAATTTTACATTTTTAATTTTGTATCATTTACAACTACTTAAAAAATGTTAGTTTTAAAAGTACAGTATTAACAAAGCCAGTATATTTATTGTTACAGAAAAGGTTGCTTAACAAATGTGAAAATGTAAAAGTATTCCCATACCCTTCCACTCTCAAGAAGTAGCTTTCATCCATGCCATGTCGGGGTGTGTGTGTGTGTGTGTGTGTGTGTGTGTGTGTGTGTGTGTGTTTCAGAGACATATTTTTTTCCCTCTGTTTCTAATTACTCTGCTACGCTGTGAGTGGAATTTGCTTAAGGTGTTAACAACATAATGGCTTGGTCTTTAGGTTTGTTTGATTTTTGCTCACATCCATGATACACTTTACACCTTTGTTAGTAATGCTGTGATTTCATCAGGAAATTTTTTTTTTCCACCTTCTGTTTCTTCTCACCACACCCTTCTTAGGAATTGTAATCCAATACATTAACTGATCTAAGCCACATTTTTACTTCATTTTGAGCTGTGAACAGAAAGTACAGAGTACATATGAACTTGTGTTTTTAACACATGCTTCTCAGGTAACGCTGCCATGGTGGAAATGCAGTTCACTAAACTTTTTGTTCGTCTCAGTAAAGAATGCTTTCCTTAGAGACAGTTAAGAAAGCTTACAGTTCAGAAAGAATGGCACTGTACTCAAATATGAAAGAGCAACTTTCATATTTGACAATTTCTAGCTTGTTAGTTACATCTGTCAGCACTAATTTATCTCAGTCTGATGTATTATTTTTGAGACATCAAACTGCCTATATGGTACTTTTGTACAAAAACTTAACAACTTTGTTGGACAGAGTATCCACAACCACTTTTTGATGTGTATAACAATTCCTTGAGTATATTATTCTACCATCAATTTAATAAAATTGGACAGATACATTTTCTTTCACTAGTAACTTAGTATATATGGGAAAACCCAAAAGTATGTATCTTAGCCATAATGCAGTTTGAATCATTGTAAGCTGACATTTACCTATACTTAGGGTCATAAAATTGGAAAATTAACACGCATAATTTGATAACTTCATAAAGGACCTCGAACATACAAAAGAAGTTTGGCAAGTGGGCTTTTTTAAAAAATAAAAAAATATATTTGTTCTCCAAATATAAGCCAACTAAGGTATGTAAATTGCTTAAATGCAGATATATATATATATTTTTTTTAATAAATTTATTTTATTTATTTCTGGCTGCGTTGGGTCTTCGTTGCTGCACACGGGCTTTCTCTAGTCACGGCGAGTGGGGGCTGCTCTTCGTTGCGGTGCGCGGGCTTCTCATTGCAGTGGCTTCTCTTGTTGCGGAGCATGGGCTCTAGGCGTGCGGGCTTCAGTAGTTGTGGCACATGGGCTCAATAGTTGTGGCTCACAGGCTCTAGAGTGCAGGCTCAGTATTTGTGGTGCACGGGTTTAGTTGCTCCGTGGCATGTGGGATCTTCCCAGACAAGGGCTCGAACCTGTGTCCCCTTCATTGGCAGGAGGATTCTTAACCATTGTGCCACCAGGGAAGCCCTAAACTCAGAAATTGTCAGGTCATTTCAGATAGCCAAAGAATGTAATAAGTCTTTAATACAGGGTAGAATACACAATTACATTAAATGAAATATAGTCTGAGTTGATATTTTATATCTGCTTAAAGAGAATGCAAGAGTAGGATATTCTACCACCTATACAGCTGGGCCAAATAAAAAATATGTCATACAATTTCTGGAGGAGTCATCCTGGATAAGAACCCTGTAGATATCTGAGTAGAAAATCTGATCTAAGGCCTGGTGTAAAGGAAGAGTTAGTGATATTGAGCACTGACAACATGAGAATGTGCCCTCATGCCCACCTAATCATCTAGTGCCCTCCAGCTCATAGATATCATGTTGACTCTTGCTAAAAATAATATTTGAGTAGGAGGTAATTTCCTATGACTGGAGGCAACTGGTGCCTTAACTACAACCTTCCTTTGGTTTCTAAGTCAACTCTTTATAAATTCTGTCTTTAGTAATAAATTCAGTCACTAGCTCTTCTACTGATGAACTCTTCTAACTCTTCTACATTCTCTGAGTGACAGAAAATCAGTGTTTCTGCCTTTGCCTTCATTTATATTGTTATTTGCTTTCCTCATGTGGGAATGGATCAAAAAAGAGTCATAAGTTGTAGAAGAGCTAAACAAATGAATATGAGAAACAAATACCTATCAATATCCAAATAATGTTTATTTGGTTACAGTTTTTGTTATTTCAACTCTATCTGGAATAGAGTTTACATATAATAGCAACCGTAATTATGAATTTTTCTCACACTGAAAAAGTTAAATGAAAAAAGCAATTAACTGATGATATTCTTTACTCTTCCATTTCTGATTATACTTACTGTTAGGCATGGTCTGGCTACAGTCTGATATGAAATTGCTCAGTTTTCACCTTTCGGTTGTTCTGTTTTCGCCTTTCATGATTTTCATCACGTAACGTGGTTGAGGGGGCAATGAGGTTCAACTAGTAATTTAATACTTTTGATTTTTCAAGGTAAAGAGGATACAGGTCACCCTATGACAGACAGGTGTTCCAACATGAAAGTATTTGAAATTGACATGAACATTTTAGGCTGCTTTCACAACACGCTTTTAACTAACATTCTCTCATTCACCTGAAGTTTAAAAATTCATCACTTCTATCAGTCAATTATTTGTAAAAAGATAAGGTTTCAACCTTAATAAAAATGTTACAGTGATTGAATACAGGTTAAAATTAAGTAGACCATATGCATTAAAATGTTTCAAAGTACCTTTGAAACTTATAGATAGCTTGTTCATAGTGTTTTTGTGCCTTTTGAAAAGGGTTATTTCTTTACCTTGTGGGCATATAGAACATTATTGTAGCATATTATGGTGAGAGCAACTCAGATTTGAGCAACTTGATATTTAATTAAGTAAAGAGAAGACAAGATGCTTTTGAATCCCAAAGATACCATAATATGGCAATTTATGGTGTCATATGAGTACCATCCATGTAGCTAGTAATTTATACTTAATACATTGTCAAACCATCACTTTTATTTGTCTTGATTCACAACAATTCAAAATAAGTGATCAATTTTTAAAAACTCAGTCTCTAAGGTAAGGTGTCTTTCTATTAATATTTAAAGTTATAACTTGGTGTTTCTCAGTGATTCTGTCTATGTAGCTATTCTGCACTGCTTTGGAAGTTTTCCAAAGCCTGGTACCTTCAAACACATGAGAGAGCCAGAGGTTCTGCCAGAGGAATTAATTTAGTTTGGACCACTGAAAAGATCTATTTTTGTTTCAAAGCCCTTTATTTGCAAGTGAGAATTGTGGGTGTGAACAAAGATAACACATAAAGGATCAGACTAATTAAACTTTCCCAAAGGTATTGATAACTGAAGATGCACAGAAATTTCTGATTGATATACAAGAAAGTCCTTTGGAAATTATAGTGGTATACAAATGTTTTAAGTTATAATTTATGTATGCCTACTTTGTTTTCTGAGTATTTTTCGAGTCAATGAATTCAGAAACATTAGCGTATCCAAATAATCAACAAGATAATAGGTTTCACTGTCATTATGGTAGATTATTTGGAGAAAATGTTACATTTATTGTTGTTTTGCTGATAATTCACTGTAAGCAAGCAGGCATTAATGCATTTTCTGGATGGAATAATATGAGGCACTTTTTGTTTAAAGGAAAGAAAATGTCATTTTTACAAAGTTCAGTTTATTGAACGGTGGTATGGTATATATTTAGTATAAGAGGCTTGGGTTAAACAGGCCTGGGTTTGAACTTTCACCTTGACTTGCCTAGTCATTAGCTGAGCAACCTTGGGTTTCTTGAGCTGTAAAATAGGGATAACATTTACGTCATGGGGTTGTTGACAGAACTAAATGAGATAATTTGAAAGTGTCAAGCCAGCACCTGACTACCCTGCAAGCACAAATGGTATTCAGTAAATATTAACTTCTCTTTCTCCTTATTTCTTTTTCCTTTCTATTCCAACCTTCTGATTATCCCATTATTAAACTCTGACCTAGAGTTAATTCAACTTAAGTAGAAATGAGTCAAAGCACAACAGAATCTTGAGCTGTAGTGATTATGGCCTGTGTTTATCAAAATACCCCCTTCTTCAAACACATTTCTGTTATATCTGAAACTATGTGGTGGACTTGTTTTTGGATTGTATGATAGCTCATACCAAGTTAGAACATTTTTCCCACTTGATATACTAAAAAATGAAAGGCAAGAAAAATTTTTGGCAAGGAAAATACTAGTCTTCTCTAAATTATAGCAAAATCTCATTAATTTAGATCCCACTATAAAGGAAGTGTATTAGAAATTTAATTTCCATTAAAATCAAAACTATAAGCAAGATTTTGCAATGAGACTTTACCCTAAAAAATAAAGATATTAGAACCATAGTAGTTTGAAACGTATAAAAGCAGACAATGTGACGCATATAATTTGTGTTTTGTACTTTGTCTTAATAGAAAATATAAAAGTTCATGTTTTAGCAATGTGCACTGAATCATACTTTACTCAGTTTTTCAAAGTTAATGCTAAATGAGTAGTGAGATACTCCCTTCAACAAAGACACAGGATAAACATAAGTAGCTTTGCATAATGATGCAGAGAGCATTAGCGTGGTCTTAACATGAAACCTGTATTTTGTGTGTTTTGTTTCTCTTGCCTCAATTGAATTAAAGTATGTGTATGTGGTTTTATTTTGTCACAACACAGATGGAGAATTATACTCTGGAACGGCAGCTGATTTTATGGGGCGAGACTTTGCTATCTTCCGAACTCTTGGGCACCACCACCCAATCAGGACAGAGCAGCACGATTCCAGGTGGCTCAATGGTAGGTGGTGCGTGCCAGAATGCAGGCACAAAACACGGGCATCTATAGTAAGTCAGTGGAGAGCTTTCCTTATACGGTGCAAACAGCATGAGTTGAGATTTAGTGTGCAGATAAACTCACGGTGGTGACTTCATGGCTGTGTGTGTGAGAAAGTGGGACAAAAAGAGAAAAGAGAGATTAAAAATTTAAGAAAATATTTGCTTTGTGCCAAAACTAAAGTTTCTCAGTAGTTAACTATGGAAAGAAATAGATCTGGGCTGGAGCTACGGAAGGGAGGCAATGGAAAAAGATAAGATGACTTACCAGCCTTGTCTTCCAGGGACACCACAACAAATCTCATGATGTAGTATTTTTTTTCCTCCACACCTCTCATGTGGCCTTGAGAGCGTAAGTTATTAAATGTTTGAAAAAATTGTTGTGCTAAAAGCATTACATTGAAAGTGTTTTTGAAAGGACTTTGTATCATTTCATTTGATTCTCCTTTAATCTTCCTAAAATTCTTTCTCCTGTTTTATAGGTTGGGAAATTAACATTAATGTTTTATCTAAGATTACATCTAACCCAATAGTAGATTTGGGGCAAGAACCCAGTTTCCTGACCTTTAGTCACTAGTGTCATACTTGATGAAGCAGATACTTTTTTAAAAAATTTATTTTATTGAAGTACAGTTGATTTACAATGTTGTTTTAATTTCTGCTGTATACCAAACTGATTCAATTATACATATATATATATATATATATTCTTTTTCATATTCTTTTCCATTATGGTTTATCACAGGATATTGAACATAGTTCCCTGTGCTATGCAGTAGGACTTTGTTGCTTATCCACTCAATATATTATAGTTTGCAAGGCAGATACTTTTTTAATTCTCTTTTTCTTTTTAATACATAAATAAATTTACCATAGAAGAAAATTATAAAATTTATATGCCAAAAATAAATAAATACTATTTTCATTCAGATTTTGAACCAAATAATCCTTATATAAGTCTTCCATGTAGAGGTGTTTTTTTTTGGATTATTCATTTTATGCATTCATCAAAGATTTTTTTATAATCGTCCCCACCATATTTTCATGGTTATTTTTATTAAATATTTTTTTATTTTATTAAATATTATTTTTATTTCATGGTTTTATTATTAAATAATGATCTCCATTTATATCTGCCTTCAGTCCTATAAAATAAAGCTTCCCAGTCTCTAATCTTGCATTCATGAACTCTCCTTTGGTTTTACATGCCTCATTAATAAGGATGAAGCTCATGGCTTACAGTCCATCTATGTACTCAGTAAGATGCTTGATTGTCTCACTCTTTGAACTTCTGCCACACTTGCTTCTCCTGAACCTCTGGGGGGGTACCCAAAATTCATTTCACCTCTGTCTTTCACTGGTTTGTTAGAGAAAAATCACAATATGCTCTAAAACCTCGCTGAAATTTCAGGAGACCATGAGCTGTGTGTCTTCGTTCTTCTATATCCCAATTCTAAAATGACTATTTAAATCATAAAACATACCTCAAATTACCTCAATCAGCATTTCATTCCTCCTGTAACAACATTTCTGATTGTCCTGTTATTTTTCATGTATTAGTGAAAATGATGTGCCCCTTAACTTCTACCTTTGACCCTACTGCTTTGCTCTTAATTGCATTGATTTTTTTTTCATAAATTTACCCAATTTACTGTTTTTGCTGTTTTTATCTCTTCTTCACCACTGATTTCTTCCCTGACATGCAAACATGTTTGTCTACCCTATCCATACTCTCCCTTTAATCATGGTGTACCACGAGGTCCCTAGATATCTAAGTCCATAGCCTGGTTAGGAACTTATTTTCTCAGCATTTTCACCAGATTTAGCCATTTTCAACCTGACTTTGATCCCATGAAACTGCTCCTCCGCTAATGACTTCCTTTTTTTTTTTTTAATCAATCTCCATTTAGACAACCTCTCCTGTGGTATTTGTCACTTAACTAGCCCTTTGTCTTTAAAAGGGTCTGTTCTCTCAGTTTCCTGCATTTCCTGCTCTCCCAATTTTCTCCAGTTTGACATTACTTCCCAGTTGCTGTTCTTTAAATGCAGATAATGCCTAAAATAATTCATGATTGAGTACAAACACTGTGGTAATCAAAAGGGACTGGACATATAGTCAAATACCCACCTCTGGGGGTAGAGGAGGTGGAATGGTGCCCAGGTGACCATCTGAGAAATTAGAAGCCTCACTAAGGAAAAGAAAAATGCTGAGCTGAGATCACGGTAAGGCTCTCTGTGTAAAGCCGTTGAAGACCCAAACTCTAAAATCCCAGAGGACAGTTTTGGAATATCCACTGTTAATTATTAAACCTAGGCTTTGTATGGACTCAAAATTAGTAGGAAAAAACCTCTTTCATTGTGGCTATCTGGTCTACTCTCAAACGGAAATATTTATGTAGAAGGGGAAAGTTTGTTTTTTTGTTCAGCAAGAATGAGACTTTGATCTACTAAGAACTCTAAAGGGCATACAGGCTTTCACTGTCCATGAGAAAGAAAATCTCATTAGAAGATGGAATAACATAAAGGAGAGTATAGTATCCATTTCATTTTCATGGCCTTGGAGGAAAAAAGTCATCAAGTTAAAGCTGCTTTTGTGCAACGCACTCACATGTTGACAGCTGAGTCTGAATAATTTACACTGTGGGAAAACAGTCATTGTCCGCAGCTCTGTACTTCATCTCTGCAAATGTGTAGTTCATTTGAGAATTCAGTTATCAGTCTCGCAGCACTAAACGTGAGAACTGATTTTGCCAAATTAGCACAAAGGTTACATTTGACAGGGTGCAGAAACCAGAACTGCGGCAAGGTGGAGGATGCAGACACATACGAGATAGAACCAAGGGACTGTGTGATTCATAAGCCTCATGAAATTAAACACCACTGAAGAACAAAATTGGAAACATAATGTTTACACACGCATGTATAAAATAAGTGAATTTTGAGGCATCAGCATAGACTACACCATCAGTTGTGCTGCAAGAAGTAATAAATTACTTTGCAAGGTACTTTTTGAAAGGTCTCCTGGGCTATTGAAATTAATTTTGGCACAGGACTTACTTTACTTTTATCAAATCAATTCAAACCAATTCAATTATTTTGGAAGAATTAGTTGGCCTATTTCAGATGACTTTTAATTTGTGTTCTTGCTAAACAAAAATAAAAAACAACTTGTGTAGAATTGGATTTTGAAATGTCTTAACTTTTATGGAATTTCACTATTTTCATAATTACTCACTAAAGTTTACATTTTTATAATAGTAGCAATAAAGGCTTAAATTCAGTTTCATTTTACCAGGAAACATTAGGAATTAAGTAACAAACTTTTAGATGAAGGAACATGAGAGATGGAATCTATTGATTTTTTCCATAACTGCTTTTTAAAAATCATCCTTTACACTAGCCCCTAGTTTAAGATTGCTAGATGTTAGAACAACTTTTGATTCCAGAAAATGTACTGGTATGAGTTTGACCTGATGTGCCAAAATTCGCTGTTTTTTTCTTTTTGCTTCATAAATTCTCTTGATATTATATAGCTTTAAACTTCAATTCTAATTTTGGTTTACTAACAGTGTAAAAATTAGGTAAAATTTCTCTCTGTATATCCATAGTAAAAAACCAACTTTATCCTGCTGTTATAGTAATGATTTCTTATCATTTATTGTGTAAGTATCACCTAGTTCTTGTACATATTAGTCATTCATTAGAGCAGATGGATAGCTAACCCACATTTATTTGATGGACACTATTTCTAACATTGTTTATTTATGTCTTGGACTAACATTGGAATGCTCTATGATAGAAGGAAGGACTATAGTCTTTAGAGTGAGACACTGTTTTACCTTGACCTTGTACCTATTCATGGTTTTATAATACTACCTACCTCTTAGAGTTGTGAAAAAATCGACTACATGATAATGCATGTAGAGTACTAAGCAAGTGATTGGCATGTAGTAAGCACTTAATAAATGTGAGTTTTTTCTGTATCCTTTATCCCACTTCCATTGGGTGGAGCATGCTTAGTAAGCTTTGTCAGACTCATTCTGTGAGTGATTATATTTGAGTCAGGGTGAAAGGGCAGTCAGAGCTGGGTTTAATACATGAAACCACATGGATCCTTGAGAGAGCCAAGGCCCAGTGCACACAGACAGACCTAATTACAGTGCCCAGAGTGTTAGACCTTCCTACTCATTTTAGGAAGACCTGTTTTCTTTTAGTGGAATTTCCTAAAAGGATTGTGCCTGTGGATAGACCAACTCACTTGCTTTTTTTTCCTGTAATTGAAATGGTATGTGAGTCATCATTCCACTTCCTCTCACTTGTAACACTCATACCAGGATGGCTTGCCCTTATTGGAATCAGCATAGCTTCCTCTGTGGTCATGCACTAGGATATTTCATGTTCTCTGAAGATTCAAATTTCTCCACAAGATATATTTTTTTGAAAATAGAACCAAGAAATGTAACCGCAAATAAATTCTGAGAGCACAAATTAATACTGCATGGTACCAGATACCTAATCTTAAATCACTTGTATAACTCTTTTGATATACTATTTTAATTCTACCATCTTTAAAGGCATGAACTGTATCAGAGTATCTAACTGGATTTTTTTAATAAATAAAATTAACCATCTAGCTTGGCATAATGTCAGACTTATTAATGATGCCATTTTGAACTATTTCTCTGACTTAAGTTAGTAATATTTTGCTGACCTTGAGGAAAAAAAGCCCTCTGGAAGCCTTACTCTATGGTTACATGAGCAGATGAGTATTATAGATGTTGAGTGACCATTCAGTTGAAACAACAAGAGCAACCACAAACATTCTCTATGAAAGAAGCAACAAAGATAGAGTCTTTTTAAACTTTTGAATTACATATTCTATGAATTACATTCTGTAGTAATTAGTTAACAGTTCTGAAGTATCAGTGCATAGAGTCACAAATAAAAATGTTAGTATTTTTGGTTATTTTTGGTGAAATCATGCTGAAACATGGATATGTAATAGTTTAAAATAAGTATCCATAACTATATCTAAACACAACCTATTAGTTATGGTTTTTTCCTTATGAATCTATTACCAAGAAAAATTTTCATGCTGATAAAGAATGCCCACCTGCCAGAAATACAATTTTTTCCAAAAATACATACCATGAAATTATTCTGCTCTCTAAATGATGATAAATTTAATACACTCACTAAATATGCCTTCTTTTTCTCATAAAGAAAAAGTTCCCAAAGTATACCTTTACTTGCTCTTCTTTTCTGAGGACCTATTTTCTGTGTCATATTTTATCTAAGGACCATAATCACTTTTAACCAGTTTTGTTTGAAATTACTTTGCACTTATGAGGAAAAAAAAATGAATAAAACTTCGGAATAAAAATTAACTCATTAATGGCAATGTTTGGAACATGATTCTTTTTTCAGGCCTCTGAGAAAATGTAGCTGAATAAAATAGTTAGGATATGCTATTTTAACATTTTTTAATGATGGGCTAAAAAGTACAACCCTCAAGTATGGCACATTAATCACAAATTTTGAACCACTTATTTCAGAATTTATAGTTGAATGGTGAGAGTAGAAAATAATATTTAAGGGTATGATTACATTTACTAAAGAAAATTCTACTTTTTAAATTAAAATTGATGAAAATGTATAAAAGTGAGACAATATCTTGGAAAATTCTTTAAATTATAGCCAGCTCTCTTTTTTCTCTTGGTTCTTAACATTATTTTTCTCTCGTCTCAGCATCAGCTTAATGAATACAGAGCCTGTCTATACCAATTTCCTCTTCTAGAGTCACTACATTCAGAGCTTGGTGGGCCTCAATAGGGATTTACTGCTGACTGAGTAATCTGGGTTCATGTGTGCAGTGACATCAAGCAAGAGATTTACCCTGAGAAGTGGATGCCATGACAATGCGTGTAACCATGGTGTGACTGGCCTCTCTGACATGGCTCTCAAAAGCTTTCCCTCTGTGAAAACAGAAGCCTGTTTGCAAATTAATTAGTTTCTGGCGGCAGCTTGATTGTTGACCCAGAGTTTGTAGAGTGGAAAAACAATCAGATTAGTGTGCTCAGGGTAAAAGACCAGTGTGCAGTTGCGTGTGGCTTGCTCAACTATTGAAACCATGAATGAACTGAAACAAATTCTTTCCTGAGAAGCCGAGGCAGAGGTTAAGTGTGATGAGCCTAGAGCTCCCAACAGCAGGGGTGGGGGAATTAAAGGATTTTAGCCAGATAAAGCTGAATGATGGCAAGCAATGCCATTGAATTTTAATAGCATGGATAGTTTTGACCAAATAATAAAAAAAAAATAACCCCAAAAAACACTTGTTATGTTGTTCTAATCCCTCTGAGTAGAAGGAATAAGTTTACAATATTATTAAATGTAGGTTTGACACAAATACTTTCACAGTAGAAAATTTCAGAAGTTTTCAGATGGGAAGGTTTTAATTAAATTTGTCTCAAAGGCTAATATGATAACATCTAAATGAAAAACTGTTACGAAGTAACCTGCATTTTTATGTTGATAAAATTTTTGTTGATATATTTACCTCAGCTGCTTTCTGAGGTGTAATCCTCACATGCCCAATAAAATTAATCCTGAGTCAAAGAGAGATGTTGGCTGATGAGAATACATATTCTGCTATCTACTTTTGCAAATATCAAATTAGGTAACCGTGCCAAGGAATGATGTCTGCAATCTTAGGATGAAAAAATTCTGCATACAGTTTTTGATGATTAAAATTTGTTTTAGTCAATAAATTATTGTTTATGCTTCATTTTGTAAGATTACCTAACACAATAAGCCATATATACTCTTCCTTTTTAGATACCACTGGCAGATGTCTCCCTAAATACAGCTCTGATGGCTATCACAGTACTTTCCCGTTCAAAAATCATTTATATCTCTGAATTTACAAGTGAATTGAATCCAGATTTTGCTGCCTGTCACGTTCGTTGTCATGCAATCCTAAATGACCTCTCCAATATTAAACACTAACAGACTCAAATAGGGTGGGTTGCCCTTAAATTTACTATCATTTTCATTTAACCATACCATTCTCTCAGTGGATTTTAATCTTTCCCACCTTTGAATCCCAAGAGCACATATATGCATGTTTCGATTTATCACAGGGCCTACCACTTTGCCTTGCAATCTAGGGTATGCCAAATAAGAAACTCTTCAGTGAACCTTCTTTGCAGGCTCTGGGGTCAGATGGCCTGAGTTTGTATCCCAGGTCCTCCCATCTACCACCCTCGTGACTTGGGGGGTAATTTATGTTACTTATTTTCATCACCCATTTATGATTTGTAAAATAGGGTTAATAACTAATACACTGTTTTTCTGAAAATGCATGAGACAGTCCTCATAAGGTACTAAGAACAGTGTCTAATAATATGGTAGATGCTCATTATAACTGTGATTGCTGCTGGCGTTTGCATACCAGCTCTATACATAGAACACAGTGCACATTTGGAGAATTAATACAGAGAACCAGCCTGAAGGTTATGTTTGCCTTTCTTAATCTGTTCTCAGGCTATTTTGTTTTGTCTTATTTAATTGACTATTGTCAATATATGGGCACTTAATACATCAAAAATATATAAAGTATTTGTCTTTAGTATTAAAATAGTATATAAACTTGTTAGTCAAATTGGGCTTAACAAAATTAGCAGATGAAACAATGAAATGGTGAACCAAGGGTAAATTTCAATAAAATGTGTTTTCCTAAGTATTAATTTAGCTCTATTAAGTGCAGTATTTACCACTTAAATAAATAAATCATTAGGTTAATTCTTTTTTCTAATATAATTTTTAAAAAAACATTGACTGCATTGTTGCATCTAGGATATTCATTTATCCTGCCATATCACAGCTTAGCTTTTAATTTTTTTCATATGAAGACGTTATTGGTAACCTTTGGGGTCGTAGTTAAGAGCATGGAGTCTATGGAACTTGACCGCCTGACTTGGGCACTAACTGAGCAGCTGGAGACAGCTACTGTAAGCTACCTGTGCTCAACGTCCCTTTTTTCAAGTGGAAACGATAATCGTTCCTCCCTATTGGGTTGTTATGAGAATTATGCATAAGTAAATTTCTATAAAGCACTTGGAAAAGAGACTATTCTTACCAAAAACAAAACAGACAAACAAAACAACTCAGTTGATGTTAGCTTATTCCATAACATTATGTAAGAATTTTAAATAATAGAAAAATAAAAATACCTAAATATGTCAACTCACTAAAGATGTAGTAGAATGTACAGTCTCACTTAACTGAACAGCCATGTATTTCTAGGAAAACAATGAAAATGGCTTAAGGAAAACAAGACAAGATGAAGTGATAGTAATCTATGCCCTTTCCTTGGGCAGAGTCTATACATACAGGATTTCTTGTCTAATGATGTGAGTACATTTTGATAAAACAGATCTACTATTTTGCTTCAAGAAAGGGAAAAAGGATTTTTTTTTCTAAGTTTAGAAATATCCTAAGTTACTTACATATGACACTGAAATGCTCTAAACTTCATATATCAACTAAACATAAATTATAAAATGTTATACAGAAGAAGGGTCTTTAAAATATTTTCCTGGTAATATTAGTAAGGAAGATTTGCATGTGTTTAGATGTCCTTAAAAGAAACATTTTTTACTTAAAATTGTTTGTGTCACTATATGTTTTAAGTAACTAGACAAGAGAAAATCACATCCCTTCACTTCCCAACCCGGCCTCCCTCACCTTCCTTTCAGCAATCTACCAAATTCCTGTGGCACTTTTGGATCAACACATAAATTCTGCATTTTAAACACTATAACACTTTACATATGGTAATATTATTTTTAAATATATTTATGCAAAAATAAAGATATGCATTTGAGAACTATAGTTTATTATTAGTAGTAATTTTGTAAATTGATAAGTATAAATTTTTTTATTCATTAGAAGTATAATTTTTATTTTGTGATGGTTTACTAAATCATAACTATTTTGGCCTTTAATGTAGGCTGTTAGCATAAGGGATTCATCAAAAATGTGTCTCTTCAATATGTTTATAAATTTGTCTAAATTCATATAAGTGTAAATAATCTCTTTCGCCTCATTTAATTACTAATATTTTTGCTTTCTGTTTTATTTTTATTTTTTAAATTAATTTTTATTGGAGTATAGTTGATTTAAAATGTGGTGTTAGTTTCTGCTGTACAGCAAAGTGAGTCAGTTATACACATATATATATCCACTCTTTTTTAGATTATTTTCCCATAATGGTCATTACAGGGTATTTAGTAGACTTCCCTGTGCTGTACACTAGGTTCTTATTAGTTATCTGTTTTACGTATAGTAGTGTGTATATGTCAATCCCAGTCTCCCAACTTATCCCTCCCCGCCTTCCCCCTTGGTAACCATAAGTTTGTTTTCTACGTCTGTGACTCTATTTCTGTTTTGTAAATAAGTTCGTTTGTACCATTTTTTTAGATTCCACATATAAGCAATATCATATGGTATTTGTCTTTCTCTGACTTATGGATAAAGAAGATGTGGTACATATATACAATAGAATATTACTCAGCCATAATTACTAATTTAAAAAAATGTTAGGGTTTCAATATCAAAGAGAACCATCCCTTTTTGTACATTTAAAATCCTCACCTGAATGTGTATGGGAAATTCGTGACAGCCAATTTAGTTTTCCCTTTGAAACCCACACTGCCTTCTTCTGCTTAGCGTACAATAGGATTGAAGTGACAGACAGTACAGAGCTGTATTTGGGGGCTTGTATGTTGTGTTTTGACCCATTTACAATTTAGTAAACTTGAATCTCAGTGATCCTGAAAGTTATTAATGCCAAGACTGATATCAAATGATTACTGCCACGTAATTGCTTAACACCTATAGAGTTTATTTATCAGTGGGTTTTCTAAACACATTTAAGAATGAATGAACAAATTATACTCACGTTTTGCAGAACAAGAAAGTAATCTTCTAAGTCAAACAAAAATGACAGTATTCTGAAAATAGAAAACAAAACATAGAAATTACCACAAAACCTTACTCATTTGGGGATGAATTAAAGGAACATCTAGTTATACTAATAATTCATATTATAAAATTTGGGCTTACAAGGCTAGGATGAACCAATAAGGTACAGAGCATCTTTGATCAATGACTTTTATATATTTGCAGTAATCATATTAAATATTTTGACGGAAGAGAAATTATTGAAGTAGTGGAATATTGCTGTTTGCCATAAGAAAGCTAATGACTGACCTCCCTGTTATTTCTGTTGATTTCCTTTAAATAAAATAAAAGGGAAAATCACACTCTTTATTAATATCAAGGTAAATATACAGCCAACTCTGATCAACCAATCAGTGCCCAAATTAAGAAAATTGTAATATAACTGGATGTGAAAGCCCTTGAGATGATTGTATGTTAATGAATCTTAAAATGTGAACTGATTTTCCACTTTTTTCCAAACTGGAACTACCTTTACTGGCTTTCTGGTTTGTTTCTAATTCCTGAGTAAGAGCAACCTGTAGAAGGCAGTTGAAAAGACTGGCTGGAGCTAGGAATTTGACAGCAGGAAATAGAACAAGAATGGCAGACCGTTAGAGCGTCCAGTTTTAATGTCCTACAATGCTGAGGTCATTTGGTAGTGATAGAGCAGAGGCAGCACCAAAAAAGAGTGTAGCCATGTCATAAAGATATGCAAAATCTCTACTAAATTTAACAGTTTTGATTAATTTTGTCATCTCCATTTTGTATAAATGTGCTGCAACTCCATTAATCAGTTCTGCCTGTTAGCTACTCATGAATTCCCGAACTGTTTGTCCTTGGAAGGATCACACTTTGTTAGCAGTAGATGTCACTAATATGTTAGTAAAGAATATTCTGTTAAGAATAGCAAAATGAAACTTCATTTAAAACACTTTAATACAACTAAGGAAGCTGAGTATGTCATTGCTGTTAAGCTTGATTACTTGTAACTATTACATATTTCCTAGGATGGGAAAACATAGGTTATCATTAAAAGGAAAAAAAAGTTTCTAAAAAACATATCTGTCCACTATTCGTATGGAGTCAGAAAAGAAAGATGATAATTACGGAGGAATAAAGGGAGAAAAGAAAAGAGTAATTCCTAATGGTTAATAATAACTTCCTGAATAGATTTTGTCATTATCACTTAACCATAGTAATAACATCTGTCACTATAAGAAAATGTATGACATCACAAACTGAAATTAAAATCTTTAAACTATACCATTGTCTCGTATCTGAAAGTCTAACCCTGAAGTTTATAATGTAAGTTAGATGTGATACATATTAAATAATTTTTACAGTCTCAGAACATAGCAAAATATTATTGGAACATATATTAATTCCTGGGCCATTTTATATCTGACCAGTAAAAACAATGAAACGCCATGTAATATGATAAAGGTAAAATAGCTAAGTTATTAATGAGAAGTTAAGAATAGATCACTTTTAGGTGAACTAAACTGTCAAATTTAATTACTATTTACAATGTATTTATTTTCTGTTTTTTAATGAGTATTTTTAGTTTCCCCAAGCCTAGTCCCTTCTAGTCCCTTCTAGGCCCTTCTAGTCCTTTCTCATCTCATTCAGCAGTGTTTTCTGTTTCTCTGTATATAACGTAAGTGTATCAGTCAACACAGTTACTAACATAGAATGCTACTCTTTCCTCTGTACCCTACAGTTATACTGGAAGTGCTCCTAGATACCTGATATTAGCACAATGAATAGCTGGCTACGTTTGCTAGCTACTAATATTATTCTGGCCAACTTCCATTTTCTGTACACATTAAGCACTCTCTAGGTACCAAGAACTATTATGAGAAACAGCTGAGTAAGAGAGATCCCTGCCCTCCAGGATAATACTAATAGAACTCTT